TTTGGCAGTTTTCTCTGTGCCCAATATACTGTATGCTTCCCAGGTGACACAGTGGTAAAGAATCTCCCTGCCAATGCAGGAGATGCAAGAGATGTGGGTTCAATTCCTGGGTCGGGAAGATGCTCTGGAGAAGGAAATGGCAACCCACTTCAGTATTCTTGCCTGGAAAATTCCATAGACAGAGGAGCCTGGCAGGCTATAGTTCGTGGGATGGCAAAGAGTTGGACATGACTGAGCAACTGAACATATACTCACACACACACAATATGCTATACAATCTACTTGTTGAATGTTTCAATTTCAATGATTACAGTGTTCTTTTCTAGGTTTCCCTTGCTTCATGACTCTTGCTTTTATTTTATGAACCGTAATACTGATTTTATATCTTTAAAGTTCTTAAACACTTAAAGTTCTTCTCAGCACATCACTAACTTTTATTGGGAGATCTTTGGTCAATTTTTTTTCAAAGTATTGAAGTCTGCTAACCTTCCTATTCAAATACAGTAGATGTAACAATTTTGTTGGTGTTAATTGCACTGATTTATATATACTTTTATCAGAAATAAAAATTTAAAAATTGCAACAGAATGAATGTGTAGTGACTTCAGAATTTCCAGTCAAAAATCTCTTAAAAGACGGCTCCTGCTTGTTATTTAATTTTGATGCTAGAGGACAGAGAGAGTCATGCTCCCTGAACATGCTTCACATGAGGTCATGGGTAACAATGAATTGTCATCTTTAATTGGAGAACCTGGTTTGAGTCACCCACATTGTGTGGAGAACACTTAAAAAAATATTTGTTTATCTATTTAGGGCTGCACTGAGTCTCTTGCTCTAGAGCATAGGCTGTATATTTGTATTCCATAAGCCTAGTTACCCCATGGCACACGGAATCTTCCCAGACCTGGGGATTGAGCCCATGTCCTCTGCATCAGCAGGAAGACTCCCAACCACTGGACCATCAGGGAAGTCCCTGGGGTACATTTAAAGGCAATTACATGAGACCATAGAGGCCTTAGTCTCAGTATTCCAAACTAGATCCAAGTTCCTTTGAGCCATGAGGCTTAAGCATCTGTTACTGAGTTCCCTTTTCTAACCCACAGAGATTTTATTTTCTTCAACTACAGATATATATGTTTAAAGATCTATATCTACATTTGTTGTATTCAATCTATTATTTTAAGTCTTAGCTGCTGGACTGGGGAGATTTTAACGTGCTCTCAGCAAGCCATTTTCATCTGGATACTTGCTTTTAATATTGACAAAATGAGTTCCATCTTCCTATAGTGCAGTTTACTTGATAGATTTTTTTTAAAAGATGTTTCCTGATAACAGGAGTATGTTTTACAAGGAATAGAATTTAAAATTTAGATAATAAAATAAATCCATTTTTCTCTGGAGAGAGTCCTGTACCATGTATTCTTTTAGTGTTGAAATTTTATTAGCTGTAACAGCTGATTTTCAGTAAATATTAGTGGCTGTTTTGGGATTTGGAGAAGTGAATAGCTACTCACTCCAGTGTTCTTGCTTGGAGAATTCCATGGAGAGAGCAGCCATGGGGTCACAGAGAGTCAGACATGACTGAGCAGCTAACACTTTTGAGAAACTGTAGTGGTCCCCAAGCTTTCTGATGTGCATGCGTATCACACAATAATCGAAAGAGATGAGCACTAGGACAGAATATATTTTTCATTACAGGGAATTAATTCACTGGAAGTGGGACCAATTTACATTTTACCCAGTATGTAAAGAGTTTCATGTGGAAACAAGTTAATTGGCACCATATTTCTGATGTCTTCAGCAGCGTTTGAAGGTCCTTTATAGGTTGGATCCCAAGCAGATGCCCAGGGACTTATCTTTTAAATCTGCTTCAGGTTTCTTCTGGTTTTAAGTCATTTTGCAATGAAGCCTACAGTTTAATGAAAGGAAAATAACATCAGTAACTTTTGCCAAAATGGATGTGAAGCGTCTTTGAACTGCTGGCCTGTCCTTGTAGTAGTTTCTTTTCCTGGGTAGCAGTTGGTGTGGTGTGATCTTTTCATTCTATTAATAATATGTTATGCATGGTCACATCCCTGGTTAATTAGACTTACAGTTTTCAATTAACAGCATTTTTGATGATACATTATTATCCTTATTAGTGAGGTCATAGACTATATTATAATAAAGACTGAAGACTCTATTGTCAGCATAATGTTGAAAGAACCATTTAACTTTATGAAATGTATCTGGTGAAGAAACTTCATACTTTATTTGATGTCTAATTTGACCCCCATAAAGAACCAAATGATTCCCTTTTCCTTCCTCTTCTTCGAATAGAATGTCCAGTACTTCAGATGGTATGAATATTTCTCTCAGTTAAAATGAATAATATTGTCAGAAAATGAAATCTAAATTTTAAAAAATTGAGTAGATGAGCAGTCAGATATTTTTTAAAGCAATTTATCATGTCTTTGGATGAAATTTATAGTTCTATGTGAAACTGATTAACTCCATTAGATTTTAATTATTGTTCCAAAATCAATATTCTTACGAGCTTCCAGCAATTTCATTCACTCATCCAAATGAGGAGGGTGGATTTGGGATGGACATATTCTTTTAGTTGACTTTGAAACACTGTATTTGGTTTAGATTGTTGTAGTTCACTTTTTTCCTACTGTTCAAATACAAAGGGATCAGAGGAGATTTGTAATAGGTTTTTATCTGAACTTCCCAGCAGCTGTGGAACGATTGATTTTGTCTCCTTTTGTCTTTTCAACTCAGCAACCTATAATGTAATCTGATGAGAGATTTGACAATGGCCTCTGTGATGTGCCTTGGAGGGCTGAGTTGGGTGTGGGTACTTCTCTCCAGCCCTGCTCACTTCATCCTCACTTTTAAATGAGACTATCAAGTTTAGAGAGAGGGATCATTTGCACCATTGGTTTTCCAAGTTACTGTGCTGTGCTATACTTAGTCATTCAGTCATGTCCTACTCTGTGACCCCATGGACTTGTAGCCTGCCAGGCTCCTCTGTCCATGGGGATTCTCTAGGCAAGAATACGGGAGTGGGTTGCCATGCCCTCTTTCAAGGGATCTTCCCAACCCAGGGATCAAACACAGGTTTCCCTCATTGCAAGTGGAGTCTTTACCATCTGAGCTAGCTGGTAAACCCAAGAATACTGAAGTGGGTAGCGTATCCCTTCTCCAGGGGAACTTCCTGACCCAGGAGTCAAACAGGTCTACTGCATTGCAGGCAGATTCTTTAACAGCTGAGCTACCAGGGAAGCCCTTCCAAGTTATTTTGTTTTTGTTTCCCCAAATGTAAACAACATTCTGGCATCTATCACCATTTCTATCTGACTTATGTTAATTTTGTTGGTGGTTGAACTTTATATAAAGTTACATAGATTGAATCATAACACACATTCTTTTGTGTCTGGCTTTTACCCACCAGCATGATGTGTGTCAAGTTTGTCTTGCTATAATGATAAAGTAGTAGTAATATTTCATTCTTTTTCATTGCTCTCATTCACTGCAGAGATTGACAAACTTCTTCTGTATAGATCCAGACCTAGTAAGCCTTTTTAGCCTCGTAGGCCATATGGTCTATGTTGCAGCTCCTGAACTTGGTGGGTGTGGTGCAAATACAGCTCTATATCTGTAAATGGGCATAGCTGGATTTGACCCACAGGCTATAGTTTGCTGACCCCTGCTGTATTATTGAAACACCATGCCACAATTTATTCGTTCTATAAGTGTTTAGGTTATTTTTGTTTTGGGGAAATTATGCCTAAGGCTGTTGTGAATATCCTTATGTATGTCTTTTGTGCTTATCTTAATGCTTTTCATGTGGTGGAATTGTTGGGTTAAAAAGGATACATATGTTCAGCTATGGCAGATATTGACAGCATTTTTTCTGAAATGGTTTTACTGGCTTGTATACCTACTGATAATCTTCAGACGATTTAAATTTTTACTAACACCAGATATTGTCATTAAAATTAGCCAATTTGGATTTTTAAAATATACTCAGGATTTTTTGTCCAATTTTTGAAAATTGGTTTGTCTGCTTTTTTCTTATGGATTTGTTATATTTCTTTATATATTCTGAAAATGATCTATTTGTTGGAAATACATATTGCAAATATTTTTTTCCTATTTGTGGACTTTCACTTTTTTAAAAAAATATTTTTTTATTTTAATTTTATTCTTTCACTCTTATAGTGATATATTTTCACATATAGACTTTCTTAAGTGTAATGAAATATGATTTGTCAACATTTTTCTTTATGGTTAGCTGTTTCTGTGCCCTGTATAAGAAATCTTTATTTTAACTAAGGTCACAAATATAGTTTCTTATATTAACTTTTAGAGGCATTATTATTTGTCTTTCATATTCAGGTCTATCATCTAACTGAAATTGATTTTTGTGTGTGTATATATGGTATAAGGTAGGGATCAAAAGGACCTTTTTTCCATATGGCTACCCAAATGATCCAACATCAGTTATCAATGATTTCTTTTGCTCATTTAATTTTAGAATTTTACTAAATTCATCTATGGAATTCTTAAATTCAGTTATCAATAAATCAATTAATTAATCATCTTCAGTGAGACTGGCAGTTCCATTACTTTCAGTCTGGCTCTTTTTGTGTGTGTGTGCAGTGAGTCAGAAAGTGGTATGAGGAGAAAAGTGGAGGCTGATGTCCAGACTATTTCCAATGCCCGTGTGCATTTTGTTTTCTTTCTGGGATTTATTCCTTCAAGTTCTGCTAACTTATTTGATCTTTTCTGACTCCAAATACCTGTTTCAAGTGTTTTGTCCATCTTTTGTAGTTGTTTTCCATTGAAGGTTAGTCTGATACAAATTACTCTGACATATAAACCATACAGCTTTAAAAACAAAGTTTTTATTTCAGCTTGTTATTGGATTTGGCCAATTCAACTGGTGGAATATAAACCAAATCCAATTTACTATATCTAAAAGAAATTTTCTTCTTTTTTCCTTTCTGTTGTAGACATATACCAGGGGAAGACTTTCAGGTGGATAACATATTTTCCAGGTTTTGGCCTTGGCTTTCCTGACTGAGTAGATGCCTGTTTACAGGTGTGCAGCTTTCTCTTTTTGTTTTCTGCCCATTTTATGAGTTCAAGTTCATACTTGGGGGTGACAATAACCACTATCATGCAGTGCTTATCATTTACAAACCACTTTGTTACCCATTATATCATTAGTCCTCACAACAAGACTGTCCTGTGAAGTGTTGTTATTACCTACCCCTCTGTAGCCACTGAGCAAACTCAGGCTCAGATAGGTTATGGGATTTCCCCTCAATCATATTGTCAGTAGGTGGCTTATTAGGGGTGAAATTCCTGCCTTCCGTAGCACCCTTTTCCCATTCTGTTTTTACCCTAAGAATGACCTGGCAACTGGCTGGAAAATCTACAAATAAAATTAAAATAGTGTTTACTCTAGGAACACTCTAACTAGTGTTCCTAGTTTAGTGCATTATATTACACTGTTTCTTAGGAAGTAACGTTATTTTTCAAAAATGCCGAAGCTAAAATGTCCTCAAGCTTTAGCACAATCTGGAAAATAAAGATATGAGTAGAGTAGAAAAGAATATTATTCAAATTTGGAAGTTTTGGGGAAGGTAGAGCCAGGGCTTTTCTCTACTTACATTTTTATAGAATAATGATGCCTAGTTTGGGTTCAGGGGAAATAGGACCAATATTTCACATGAGGATCTTCTTCTGCACAACTCTTAGAAATTTTGGAAAACCTCTGTAACCTTAACATTTTTCAAATTCTTTAACACTTACATGTCTTTTCCTTTAATTTGTCTGCCTTGGGAAAAAAAATATATTTAAGTGAGAATGACTGTCTCAGTGCTTTCATCAGATGAGGTGCATCCTAGAAACAGACAAGTTTAGAAACAGACCCAGTCTTTGACCACGAGAAACTTCCTCATGTGCATCTGCAGACTGACACAGGCTTGTCTGTGTCTCCTTGGGGAGACACTGTCTCCCAGGGTATGCTTGGAAGCACGTGTGCCTGCTTTCAGTTGTTGCAGTGACTGTATGGAGCTACTACCGACATTTAGTTCCTTGGGGCCTTGAAGTGGAGGGACTTAAATGCCATATTAAAGAGAAGTGAAGGTCGCTCAGTCATGTCTGACTCTTTGTGACCCCATGGACAGTACAGTCCATGAATTCTCCAGGCCAGAATACTGGCGTGGGTAGCCTCTCCCTTCTCCGGGGGAATCTTCCCGACCCAGGGATCAAACCCAGGTCTCCCGCATTGCGGGTGGATTCTTTACCAGCTGAGCCACAAGGGAAGCCCATTAAAGAAGCTGTATTAAAGAGTTTTATATTTTACTGTGCCATCCACAGTGAGTAATTTGAGGCTGAAATTATTGTTGGGAAAGATTAACCAGGTGGTGATTTAGGGTGATTTTCAGAGATAGAGGCTGGAGGCCAGGCACCAGGTTAAGATTTTTGTAAAAACTGACACAAGCAGAAACTAGGAGTTACATTAGAGTATGAGAATGAGGAGGGAGGGCTTGTTACATCTTCAAATACACCTTACAATATTCATGAGGGAAATAAAAGTGATGTACTCCATAATTTGGAGGTATGAAAGGGGAGAGGAGTCGGGCACTGAGAGAGAAGAGAGCTTAGGTTAACAGCAGCGTAGTGAAAAGGGAGGAAGGCTATATTCCAACCCACACCTGGTCTGTCTGATGCTCCTTAGACTCTTGCTTTATACATGAAAACATTCTATTTTTTAATCAGTGCCTAAAATTGATCCAAATATTATTTATATGCCTCCCTCCCTCAGGCCAAAGTAAGTCAAAAGTTGATCCTCAATGGAAGAGTGAAACTTATTAGTCATTTATCTGTAGGCATAAGTGTAACAGAGCTACTCAGAGAAGACAAAAGGATGGTTCAGAAGCCTTGGGAACTAATTTGGAGTTCAGATATTTCAGGTTGAAATATAGAAACATTACTTTTTTTGGGGGGTACACATATGTCTTCTGTGTGAATTCTGGCAATTCAGTGAACAGTAGATGAGATGAAATAATTTGGAAGCCTTATTTCTTCTCTCAGAGATTTAGATTGATTAGTGAATAATTATGCTTAGTTGTAAGAACAAGTCTAACAATATTTTCTAGATAGGATGTTCTCTATGTAGCAATTTCCTTTGGTCTGCTCTAGAAAAAAAAACTGATAGACTTTGCATATGAAACTTTAATACTCTAATCAACCAGAAGAAAAAGTCCAAAATGTACAAATGAAAAATTCAAACAATTGGCACAGGTTTAATATTAGCTACTTGTATATGTAACTGTGTAAATTCAAAAGAGCTAACCTATGTGTATATATAACAATTGTTTACACATGTGCCTGTCCATAAGGATCAATTCATGCATTTCTTTGAAATCCTAGGTGCTGCCTCTTTGTGAAGACACCAGTACTCCATTCACATATCTTACCAGATAAGGTAATCCTGTTTCCAGGATTGAGGACACTGTGCATCCTGTATTTAGACAATGTAGTTTTCACCTTATTGGTTAAAATCCTTCATGATGATGATACAGGTATAGGCCATACCTGTACCTGGGTGTCCCCTGACTAACAGCTTCACGCAGAGCACTCCAAAAATAAGAGTCTGTAAACCACCCTGAGATGAGAAAGCAGACTCCTTGCCAGGGTGCTAGCAAGGCTTAGGAGAGCCTGTGGGGTCTGCTCATTGTCAGTATTCCAACTCATTGATACTGATGGTTTCGGTGGGCATAGAGTGCAGGGGCTGTGTAGCACATGTGTTAATCATTCTGTATTCTCTAGTGTCTGTCCTTGTGCCTTGCTCATAGTAGGTACTCTATAAACATTTATTGATTGAATTGATGAGGCTTGGAAAAAATATCCAGAAGCAGTTATGGCATATAATACTTGCTTTTATGAGCTGATATAATTTCTCATTCAGCCACACAAAGATCTCTTAGTCACATAAAATAATCTTTTATTTTAACCTGGATTTTTTTTTTTTTGTTTTAACAGTGCTTTTAAAAAATCTGTTGCTTTAATAGGTGTGTTTTAGCAGGGCACTTTTTCTAGCAATTTATATCACTACCATGTTCAGTATTTGTATTAGTGGAAATCTCAACATTCTAACAAAGGCTGGGACTCATAGTATTTGAGTTTTAAAATCTTTCTTAGAGACGTAGAATATACACAAATGCCTTGCATATGTTCCAATAGAGTGTGGGCAGAACTAGGATCATAGTCATGTGCAACAGAAGCCCTCTATTTGCATATTAATTAATTTCTAATAGTGAAGCTCTCTATTAGCTTAGTGTTAGTATACATGGGTGTATCTGGGTATATGGTAAGTAAGACATGTTTGTGTTTGTACAGGTAGTCAACATGGCTTAGCAATAATTTTGGGGAATTTTTTAGTTCTATTAATATTACTAGCTTACAGTATTTTCATCAATTCCTAATTGTGTTTTCAGTGACTACAGTAGAAATTTTAAACACAAACTGAGTTTCAGTGCATTACAAAAAGCACAATTTTGACTTTCTGTCAGTCTTCCTTCCTTGTGGTTTGCAGTTAAGATATGGAGCAGAAAGTGCCTAGGATGTAAAGAATCAGGATGCAGTGGTGAGGGTTGAGGATGGGAACTCAGGTCCTACTCTGGGCTTAGTGTCATTGAGAGGTCAATGCACTTTGATGACACCTCTGAATGATTTTTGTTTTACAGAGGTGGACTTGCTTCTTAAGTCTCAACAGTGCTAATAAAAGCAGAGTTCTGCTTTAGCTTTGCGTGGGTCTGCATAATTTTAGAGCATTGATTATTCAGCTCATGGAACATGCATATCTAAGAGCATAGACTTTAGAATTTAAGTCTTGACTCCACCAGTAAGGAGTCTGTGATACTGAGCTAGGTAAATAACCTCTTTAAGCCTTGATTTTTCTTACCTGTAAACATGGGGTTAACAATAGTAGATGCCAGAAGGTCCGATGATAGATTAAATGCTTAGGCAAGTCTTACCTTAGCATCTGGCAGTTAGTAATTGCTCAATAAATGCTAGCTATTATTATTTCTAGTGAGTCTACTGTCTCTTCGGTCATTTATCTCCATTGGCAGAGATGTCAGATACTCTCATAGATAGCATTTTCAAGAGATAAATTACACAGGGTTTGCTCAACTTTAGAAATGTTATATGAGACTTGAGTGATCTCCTTTGTAAGCCAAGAACTAGTGCAAACAAAGCAGGTGACAGAGGAACACATGGGGTGTGTGAAGCTGCATTTCTCAATTAGAATTTGAGGCCACTCTAAAGTGAGCAGAAAAGATAACCTGTGTGTGGATGAAGTGACATTGATTCAGCACAGGTACGTGAACAGCTACTAAATGTAATCAGATATTATGCAAATTGAGCCTCTGTTGTTGCATTCTAATGACAACTCTCCTGTAAGTAACACTTATTTCAGGATTTTACTTATTCTCATTAAATAAGCCCAAGGTTGTTTGCATTCCTCAAAAAGGAAAACTGTCAGTAAGAACTCTGAGTCATGCTTCATACAACAGCTACACCTGTGTCTTTGATTTGATTGAATATATATATTTAATGAACCTAGAGATTTTAACTTTCAAATACTTGAGTTAATGGCTCAGGAAACTCAAACAGGGGCTCTGTATCAACCTAGAGGGGTGGGATGGGGAGGGAGATGGGAGGGAACTTCAGAAGGGAGGGGATATTTGTAAACCTATGGTTGATTCATGTTGAGGTTTGACAGAAAACAGCAAAATTCTGTAAAGCAATTATCCTTCAATAAAAAATAAATTAATTAAAAAAATCACACTGGAATCATAGTTCAAATGGATATGTAGAGAGAGCTTTAGAAAAGGTCAAGGTGTTAGTGCTGATTTCTGTGGAGAACTTAGGTTTTCATTTGTGAATTTCTGTTTACAATCTAAAGGAAAAATATGCAACAGAATTTAAATCAAAAGTCTTTTGGCTTTGCTTTGAATATGTGGTGATGTAATGGTTTTCCTTATGATTCTTGGAGAACTTTTAAAAAAGAAACCAACACAATATTGTAAAGCAATTACCCTCTAATTAAAATAAATAAATAAGTTCTTTTTTCCTTTTTTTTTAAAAAAAATATTTTTAATTACGGGAAATTGCTTTACAGTGTTGTGTTGACTTCTGCTGCACAACAGTGCAAATCAGCCATAATTAGACATATCTACCCTCCCTCGGGGGCCTCCCTCCCTTTTCCCAGCCTACGCCTCCACGTCACCACAGAGCACCAGGCTGGACTCCCTACGTGATACAGCAGTCTCTCACCAGCTGTCTGTTTTACACACCGTAGTGTATGTATGTCAGTGCTGCTTTTTCCACTTGTCCCAGTCTCTCCTTCTACCACTGTTCCACAAGTTCGTTCTCTGTATCTGACTCTTCATTCCTTCCCTGCAAGTAGGTTCATCAGTACCATTTTTTCTAGATTTCATATATATGCATTAAAATATATTTGTAAAACATGTTTGTTTTTTTAAAAAAAGTATTTATTGAAGTATAGTTGATTTACAAGACCATGTAAGCTTCAGGTGTACAGCACAGCCGTTCAGTTACACACACATATATAGATGTATATATATTATTTTTTGGATTCTTTTCCTTTATTATATAGTATTGACTATAGTTCCCTGTGCTGTACAGTAGGTCCTTGTTGGTTATCTATTTTATACATAGTAGTGTGTATATGTTAATCCCAGACTTCTAATTTATCCCTCCTCTCATAAAACATACAAGTTCTGATCTCCTTGTCTTATTTCATGACCAGAGATTAGAATATATAGATGTAAATGTCTACATTTGAGGCAGAAAGTTTGAGAAGTTATTTACATTGTGTCTGTTTTACTCTTAACTCAAGAAGATTCAGTTCAGTTCAGTTCAGTCGCTCAGTCGTGACTGACTCTTTGCCACCCCATGAATGACAGCACGCCAGGCCTCCCTGTCCATCACAAACTCCTGGAGTTTACTCAAACTCATGCCCATCGAGTCGGTGATGCCATCCAGCCATCTCATCCTCTGTCATACCCTTCTTCTCCTGCCCCCAACCCCTCCCAGCATCAGAGTCTTTTCCAGTGAGTCAACTCTTTGCATGAGGTGGCCAAAGTATTGGAGTTTCAGCTTCAGTATCAGTCCTTCCAATGAACACCCAGGACTGATTTCCTTTAGGATGGACTGGTTGGATCTCCTTGCAGTCCAAGGGACTCTCAAGAGTCTTCTCCAACACCACAGTTCAAAAGCATCGATTTTTTGGTGCTCAGCTTTCTTCACAGTCCAACTCTCACATCCATACATGACCACTGGAAAAACCATTGCCTTGACCAGACAGACCTTTGTTGGCAAAGTAATGTCTCTGCTTTTTAATATGCTGTCTAGGTTGGTCATGACTTTCCTTTCAAGGTGTAAGCATCTTTTCATTTCATGGCTTCAGTTACCATCTGCAGTGATTTTGGAGCCCCAAAAAATAAAGTCAGCCACTGTTTCCACTGTCTCCCCATCTATTTCCCATGAAGTGATGGGACCAGATGCCATGATCTTAGTTTTCTGAATGTTGAGCTTTAAGCCAACTTTTTCACTCTCCTCTTTTCACTTTCATCAAGAGGATCTTGATTTCTTCTTCACTTTCTGCCATAAGGGTGGTGTCATCTGCATATCTGAGGTTATTGATATTTCTCCTGGCAATCTTAATTCAAGCTTGTGCTTCTTCCAGCCCAGCATTTCTCATGATGTACTACCACTTGCTAAAAATGGAAATTTGAGTTGAACTTTACCTGAAGAGACATCAGGTACTGACTGCCTGGAGAGTCTCCTTGTGTAAACATACTCTTCTCCAGCTTGGAAAATCTGTATTATCGTCGACCACTTGAAATAAAGCTAGTTACTTTGATCCAGAATGCTGAGATCTAAAGATTTATGCCTTGAGCACCCTTTCTGATATTCTCTTTAATGAACTTAAAAAAACTTTGTAAAATGTGGATTTTTCAGTGGGAGTAGATGACTATTCTGATTCAGAAACCATCATGCCCACTGCAAAAATTATGTATTTCAGTGAGAGAAAAATGAATGACACTTTCTATTTCTTGTGTGAGATTAACCAAGGGTATGTGAACAATTGTTCTGAGGAGTATTTTCATGGGAGGCAGAACAACTTAGTTTCTGAATATTCAAGGTGATATGCTGCAAGGGGAAAAAAAAAATCTATTGTTTCAGAGAAAGTGTGTGTGAGGTCATTCTTTTACCCTTGGTGAACTCCAGCATATCAGGGACAATGTAATAATTAAAAACTCATTTCACAGCAGCTGATTAAGCTTTGATTCACAATTACACTGTCTTTCAAAAGTCTTCTCTATCTGAGCATTTTGAAAATATGATGGCTTCATTATTTGTTATATTTCCAAAGTTAGAGCTTCAAAGGAACTGCAAAAACTTTCTCAATCATCTAGAAAGACATGAATAAAACATGCATACCCAGAATTTTAAATTAATTAGGCCACATTAGAATCTTAAAAAAAAGATTTAACATCCATGCCAATGTAGAGAAAGATGCCCTTTATTAAATTATATCTTCCTGTCCAACAATTTAAGCTCCTACTTTTAGTGTAACATTAGAAAAAATAATTACTGTGATTAAGATAATTTTAAAAGTAAATGTTAGAAAATTCAGACCACAACATTTTCAGAGTATCATTCCAATAGAAGTTTTTTTCCTATAGATTATTTTAAATTAATAAAGCAATATTCTAAAATGTATACCAACTTTCTGGACCCCAAATAATGAATGTAAGCAAGAGTCTGATACTTAACTGAAGACTGAATGGTTTTCCCATAGGCAGCAAGTAAGTATGGACTTCAGACTAGCACTTGTTAGACTGTGAGATAAAAACGTCTAAGGATAGAGTGTTGAAACAGTATAGTTCTAGATAAGGTGGGAAGCTAAATTTGAGACCTCACAGTGCTCCTTCAAGAGACCTCCAAATTTAGGGAAAATGCTAGCAAACAAGAAAGATCAAGTTGGGTTCAGTGAAGGAAAATGGATATAGGTAGAGAGGAAATTGTGCCTTAAGTATCACAGTCATGTTTCTATTTTAATCAAGCATCTTCCAGATAACATAGTCACTATATTAAATATTTATTGCCCAAACTCTGCTTCTTGGATTATTTTCCCATGGACAAGGGCCTAAATATGAGTCAACACCCAGGGCTTAGCACTTCATGTGTAAAATGGAGATAGTAACATGGGTTGCTCTGATGATCAAATGACAACATACAGAGAACTAACAGTTCCTAGAACAGTTCCCACTTAATGAAGGGCATTTTTTAAGTTCCGTATAACAGACAGCTGAAGCAATTTAAGGCAAATCTCATCATTTTATATAATAGAATCACGTAGGAGACCTAGGAAACCTTACTCGTGGGAGGGTTAAGGGTAGAAGAGCTGATATCCCTTTGAGAAGGCTCTGGATGATGTCTTATTTGGGAGGTATCTTCAAAGATGAGTAGAATCATTGCAGGCAAAGAATGGAGGAAAGTGTTTCAGGTATAGAGAGCAGCAAGACACGATAGAGCCTGGGGACTGGGTCCAGGACTGTAGAAATCAGGTGATTTGGCTGGAACACATGATCAAAATAGGAAGCTTAATATCAAGCTGAAGGATTTCTTAATTTAGTACACAACTGAGAATTGTTTTTTTTTTTTTGGTTGTTGTTTTGGTTTTCATTTTTAGCAGTAAAAGAATACAGTAAGAAAAAAAAAAAACACAGAAGGAATAACTCTGAAAGAATTTATAGGCATTTTCCTTCAACTTAATACTGATTCCAAGAATAGGTGCCAAATATTTTCCAAGTGATTTTCAAAGTAGAAAGAAATGCCCTTGAGAAGCTGTGTTATTAAATATGTGCTTACAAATATGGGAATCAAGGACACTCTATTCTTCTCTCTTTAATAATCACTGGAAGGTCTTATGCTCCTAAAATAGCTATCAACTTGTGAGATGTCAGTCAATCATTTGAATGGTATTCATGCAATTTCAGCTATGTGCCCAGGAGCACATCATTCAGTGAAGACAGAAAACAATGTATAAAAGGCACATTTCTTGCCCACAAATAATCTAGTCCAGTTGGGAAGGAAAAATTGACCCACATGTACAAATTATCACGTGGATCCCAGCAGAACAGTGTGTGACCAATCAAGTGATTCACTTTCAGATCTTACAAAACCAGGTAAATTCTAGTACAAAGACCTACAATTACTTTGCTTTCTTCATTCTTCTGCCTCAGCTGTATACCTAGCATTTGACTAAGCACATATAATGGAATGCAAATTACTCCCAGAGTAAATACATCAGGCTGCTTTTATTTTTGATTACAAATACATAAATCACAAGATACCTCTTAAAGTTCATCTTGAGGAACAATATAACACAGTCTGTGAGTAATTCAGAGTGATTCACAATCATCCTCTCATTTAAAGGCAGATCTACTCTAAGAGAAGTAAAAAATAGCTTTTTTTGGGGCAGGGGAATTGAAATGAGCTATTTGCTTTTTTAAAAATAACTAACTCAGGTGGTTAATTTGTACAGTGTTGAAAGCTCGCTTCTTGCCAATCAACTTAAAAATGTTAAACAGGGATATAAAATTCAGTTTACTTAAAACTAATCTAAGAAAAGAGGAAATACACTTTTCATCCTACTTTTTGAAATAATTTAATTTGGAGAAATTTTTTAGAGCTTTTAAAAGCATTTAAAACAAAACCTTTAGGAAAACATTTCTAACAGTTTCTGATAATTAAGAAAGTGAAGTCTGTGTAAAGTGCTTCCAGTCAATTATTGATAAATTTCATAGAGTCAGCCAAAGTATATGAGCCTGTATCTGCCCTCAAGAAGTTTTCAATAAAGTTGTGATGAATTATATGAATAAAAATTGAATATTAGGTGGCCTCTAGATAGTGTTCAATAATTGGGAAAGAAGTTAAATGTATTAAGAAAGCTTGTTAGTGTGTGTCTTAATATTGAATTCAAATGGTACCTTAGATCTAACACACATGAATCATAAGTTATCAAATTTCCATTTTTGGTAGAGTTAATGAAGACTAGCAGAGAGAGAAATCCTTTCATGGGTATAATGAATGTTGGGTATTTTTATTGAAAGAACTTGGATACATTTCAATTAGGACAGTGTTTCACTCCAAACTGAACTAAACTCTACTAGAGCCACATGAACAAAGAAAGATTTTTAGTGTGTGTGTGTGTGTGTGTGTGTGTGTGCACGCGCATGCATAAAAAGAGATCTAAAGACCAGTCCGTGGTATCTACAATATCACCAATTACTCAAGCATCTTTATTGCCATCTTTTCTCATTTCTCATGGTTAAAATATGGCTACTGGATTCCCAGTCATCATATTTGAGTACAAGAAAGTAGAAAGGAGAAAGCTGAAGGGCCAAGTGATGAAAAGGCCTGCCAGTTTGCCTCTTTTAAGAAGCTTTCTCGAGGTTGAGATGGCCGGCCTCCAGCCCTAGACACCGGGGCGGCAGGACGGCGAGGATGTCGGCTTCCTTAGTCCGGGCCACTGTTCAGGCTGTGAGCAAGAGGAAGCTGCAGCCCACCCGGGCCGCCCTCACCCTGACACCTTCAGCGGTAAACAAGATAAAACAACTTCTTAAAGATAAGCCTGAACATGTTGGTGTGAAAGTTGGTGTCCGAACCAGGGGTTGTAATGGCCTTTCCTACACTTTAGAATATACAAAGACAAAAGGAGACTCTGATGAAGAAGTTATTCAAGATGGAGTCAGAGTGTTCATCGAGAAGAAAGCACAGCTAACACTGTTAGGAACAGAAATGGACTATGTTGAAGACAAATTATCCAGTGAGTTTGTGTTCAATAACCCAAACATCAAAGGAACATGTGGCTGTGGAGAAAGCTTTAACAGTTGACTCCTCAGGACTGCTCGGGCTGCAGGCCCCAGGAGAGCTGTGGAAGCTCTACTGCTTATTGAAGAAACCATATGACTATCACATGCTTAAGGTGTGTAGTGTATGACTGCCTTCCAAGGAAAATAAAGTGATGCATTTGAAAATGAAAAAAAAAAAAATAAAAAGCAGAGACATCACTTTGCCAACAAAGGTCCATATAATAAAAGCTATGGTTTTTTCAGTAGTCATGTATGGATGTGAGAGTTGTACCATAAAGAAGGCTGAGCACCAAAGAACTGCACTTTCAAACTGTGGTGTGGAGAAGACTCCTGAGAGTCCCTTGGACTGCAAGGAGATCAAACCAGTCCACCCTAAAGGAGATCAACCCTGAACACTCATTGGAAAGACTGATGTGAAGCTGAAGCGCCAATACTTTGGCCACCTGATGCAAGGAGTTGACGCATTGGAAAAGACCCTGATGCTGGAAAAAGTTGAGGGCAAGAGGAGAAGGGGGGCAACAGAGGATAAGATGGTTGGATGGCATCACCAACTCAATGGACACGAGTTTGAGGAAACTCCAGGAGATAGTGATGGACAGAGAAGCCTGGTGTGCTGCAATTCATGGAGTTACAGAGTTGGACAGGACTTAGCAACTGAACAACACGACAACAATATAAGGATATATATGTATATACATATGTGTATATATATGTATATATGTACATACATATATTTCTTTTTCATATTCTTTTCCATTATGGTTTATTATAGGATATTGAATATAGTTCCTGTGCTATACAGTATGCTCTTCTAATTTACCCAATCTGTATGTGAGTCTGCGTCTACTCAGCATTTTTAAATGGGATGGAATATCATTTATCTGAAATATCAGAAGTATTGTTTTAGTACTGTTTTATTTTAGCGGGCTAAACAATTGGATAAAAATGTGTGTACTGGATTGTGGGGTAATTTTTTAAAGAAATATTGTGTCAAAAAAAAGCTCAAAATCCACTAGTATAGCTAATATATTGACAGAAAAATTTGTGATAGCCTAACTATTCCATTGAAGCAAAAATCCCATTAACTGCAGTTGTTTTCAAACAATTAGAAACACGCCATCAGGAAATCAGTGGAAATGAAAGTTTGAATTGAATGGCCAAAGAATGATTGAAAATATGAAAAGAAAATGTTATTTTTATAAATCATAAAATAGTAAGTGCTAAGATAATCATGACTGCCATAGTGATATGACCAATCGTAAAACGGAAATTCCTTATGGGATTAGCAGAGTCCTGTGTGGTGTGGTACAGTGTGACTTGTCTCGGTACTCAACATCACCAGTTCCATTTTGTGACTCTATTGCCTTCCCCTCTCTATCCACTCCCTCTAGTCTTATATTAAAAACCTAATTTTTATAGCCTTCTCACCAACACATAGGCCCAGTTTCCAGTTTTGCCATTATTCTCTCTAACCAGTTAGAATTCAAGTCTTGGTAATTCTTCCTTGAAAAGATATATCACATCCATGTCCTTCCTCTTTGCACTCCCCTTCTCACAGTTAGTCCAGACTATTGTTTTTACCACCTGTCTATCGCCTTGCTTCCCAGGTGGCGTGGTGGTAAATAATCCATCTGCCAATGCAGGAGACTCAAGAGTCAGGGGTTTAATAATCTCTGGATGGGAAAGATCCCCTGGAGTAGGAAATGGCAAACCACTCCAGTACTCTTGCCTGGAGAATCCCATGGACAGAGGAGCCTGACAGGCTACAATCCATGGGGTCACAAACAGTCAGACATAACTTAGCCACTAAATAACAACAAAAAGGGTTATTGTGGGTTTTAAATGAGATAAAGCTTATGAAGTCTTTAGGACACGAGAACACCTGCAAATAGTACATGCTCAATAAATACATTTCCATATCATAACACATTGCTAACCTATATGATGGAGTGTACATGCTTCCAAACAATACTCATCTTTCCTTAGTGTGACATGCTAAATTTGTATTGTCAAATCCTCCTGATTCACAGACTTGCCACTGTAGCTGTCCTTGAGCATGGCAGCCTCTGAGATGTTTGCCTTCTCCCTCAATTGCCACTTTTCCCATGCACTCTAATCCTTCTCTGCTGTGCCAACTCTAATCCTTCTCTGCTGTGCCACATTCCAACTTCTGCATCATTCTACACTTTGTTTTCTGCCATCATTTGGCCTTTAGCAATATGTGTGATGAGGTATTGTTTCTTCTATGTGTATCTCTAAGCATGAGATTTATAGGAGAGATGCCAAAGGTAAAAATGCCAAATATGATGCAGTATATGTAAGAAAAAATATGTTTGAAAGAGTAATAGATGAACATTTGTATTTCCAAACACAGTGAGGTCTACATTTGTCTGGCAACTTTGATAAGCTAATTTGATTCTAGTTAACTGAACTTTGTTTTTTCAGCATCAGAGCAGATTGCAGGGAGACCGACTTAGTCACCGGATTTGATATAGGCCCCAGAGGTTATCAATATGAAGCCACCTTCTTCACCCCTGAGAAACTGTACTAAGACCAGCAGATAAAGTGAAACCTTTTATATTTTTTCCCCACTCCATTTGTCCATCAATTTACCACATCCCTTTCCTCACTTCCTTTATACTTTTTCATGTCACTATGTATTCTGCTTTAATAATTTTAAAATAGTAATTAATCAATAGGTCTTGTAATATTTTCCCCCCACAGAAGTAACAATACTCAAGCTAAGAATAAATACTCAAGCTTTACATGCTATTCAGTTCAGTTCAGTTCAGTTGCTCAGTCATGTCCGACTCTTTGCAACCCCATTAATCGCAGCACGCCAGGCCTCCCTGTCCATCACCAACTCCCGGAGTTTACTCAAACTCATGTCCATCAAGTCAGTGATGCCATCCAACCATCTCATCCTCTGTCATCCCCTTCTCCTCCTGCCCCCAATCCCTCCCAGCATCAGGGTCTTTTCCAATGAGTCAACTCTTCGCATGAAGCGGCCAAAGTATTGGAGTTTCAGCTTCAGCATCAGTCCTTCCAATGAACACCCAGGACTGATCTCCTTTAGGATGGACTGGTTGGATCTCCTTGCAGTTCAAGGGACTCTCAAGAGTCTTCTCCAACACCGCAGTTCAAAAGCATCAATTTTTTGGCGCTCAGCNGGAAGATCCCCTGGAGAAGGGACAGGCTACCCACTCCAGTATTCTTGGGCTTCCCTGGTGGCTCAGATGGTAAAGAATCCACCTGCAGGAGACCTGGGTTCGATTCCTGGGTTGGGAAGATCCCCTGGGGGAGGGCATGGCAACCCACTCTAGTATTCTTGCCTGGAGAATCCCATGGACAGAGGAGCCTGGTGGGCTACAGTCCATGGGGTCACAAAGAGTTGAACATGGCTGAGTGACTAAGCACAGCACAGCCTAGCTATCATTGTCTTGAAAATTACATGGGAATCTCTGTCACTCAATCTATAGTTTTTTCTAATACTTGAGGAGGCTTGAAGAACTGTAATTTTGTCCTGTATGGGAGAATATGGTTCTAAATAATGGGGATCTTAACCTTAATCCAACCAAAATGTCATTTAGGCATAATAACCTATTGTATCCTGCCCACTCTGGTTAAGAATTTCTGTAATAAATTTCACAGTTGAGGGATTAAGCCTTAGAAATAATTCATTATGAAATGAGTGAATACAAACTACATTAGCTTTTTGTAGGAGGGAGGAGAAAGACCAGGCAGATGGGGTTGTAGAGGGATGGGGTAGATGTTTTAACACAGACCTAGTCCCAGAAAGGTGCCCTAAAAGAGAAGTTTAGTAATATAACTTTGAGATGAATTGCTATCTTTTAAAATAACTGTTTTACATATGGGGCTTCCCTGGTAGCTCAGACAGTAAGAATCTGCCTGTAATGCAGGAGACTCAGGTTCGATCCCTGGGTCAGGAAGATCCCCTGGAGAAGGAAATGGCTACCCATTCTTGCCTGGAGAATTCTATGGACAGAGGAGCCCGGCAGGCTATAGTCCACGGGGTCACAAAGAATCAGACACAACTGAGTGACTAACACTCACATATTAAGCATGCTAGCCTACTAAAGAAAAGTCATTATTGCACAGTTGAATAATTCACCAGACTTGTAGAGGAAATTCAGCAGGATCACTGCTACAGGAAGGATAAGAAGCAGGAATTGCCTACAGTGGTCATCTTTAAAAAATATATTTATGCTAGAGTATTAAATATTGTCTTAAAAACCAAAAGAAGTTTTCCCTTCAAGGAAACAATAGCCAACTTAGAAATATTTAGAAATTCCTTCTAAGTGGGAATAAATTCTGCCATCCCACCTTGCCTGAACCTTGATAGCAGGTATATCAAGCATACCTCAAAACTATATGCTTCCCCCTTTTCTCCTTCCAACTGATATTCTTAAATGTTGCCTTACAGTCATTCAAGAGCATATATAAAATTTCATTATTTTTCTTGCTTTCATAGCCAATTTCTCAAGAGAGGTATAAATATTTAATAACTGGCTCTCTAGGAGAAAAACAGCCCTCCGTTTATAGTTTGGCAGTTTCTGTGTTGCCAGTATTACAGTATTCTGTAAATACTCCCACCATAGCCAGTTTCAAGCTACATGATGTTACTGATTATGGAGATCCAGCACAGCACTGGTTGTAGGCCTGCTATTCCCATCATTCATCACTTAGGTACCTTAGTAGTGGCTCCATAATTTCTATATAAAAAGGAATACACAGGACCAATGTAATTGGAAAGAGAAGCTGCATATTAAGTGCCCTGTTTTTATTGGGTTATATGTTTATTTGGAGTTAAGAGGCACAGACAGAGACAGCAGTGGAAGAGCAGCTAAGAGGAGTAACCCCATTCATGCCATTTGCCAACTTTCACACAGACACCCATTAAAAGTCTTCCAGTCCAGCTTTGGTCCATGTTAAGTTGTTGTTTTTTTTTTTTTTTTTTCAGGTTAGAGCTTCTTTATTTTTTTTTAACTTTTTATTTTATACTAGAATGTAGTTGATTAACAATGCTGTCATAGTTTCAGATGTACAGCAAAGTGACTCAGTTATACATATACATGTATCTATTCTTTTTCAAATTCTTTTCTCATTTAGGTTGTTACATAATATTGAGTGGAGTTCCCTGTATTATACAGT